TTGGGCTTCCTTCTCACAGCTTCATATATCACCTTCTCAGGGACTGCCACAGAGATTCTAACCCTTCTCTGCCTGCCTGGCCTCTCAGGCCTTTCTTTGAAATCTTGGTGGAAGGAGTTGAGGGTATAACTTAGTGCTAGAGTGCTTGCCTAGCATTCATGAGGCCCTGGGTTCAATCCTCAGCACCACATAAAAATAAAATACATACCATAAAGGTATTGTGTCCATCTACAACTAAATAATAATAATAATAATAATAGTAATAATAATAAAAGAAATCTTGGTGGAAGCCTCCATGAGCCCCTCACTCTAGTATCCTGCATTCCTGCAGAACCAGCACCACATGGATGATACTAAGGTCAGCCACCAGCTCGAGCAGTATTTAGGCCTCCTTGACCATGGCCACAGCAGTCTCTGGGTGCCTGGGTAATCGAGCATGGTGAAATGAATCCTGAGGAAGGAATTTTCTAGGCAACCCTATTTGAGCACAGTGCCCCAATTTTTACTAAATGAATTTTCATTTTTATCCCCATGAGCCTGTTATGGGTGTGCCTTTGTGGATTCTGACATACCTTGAAAGATATCTTTCCTAGTTTTTGTGCCAAGTACTTAGCTTCTCTTTAGCGGTGGTAATCTCTTCAACATCTACAGCTTCTTTGACTCTAATCTTACATGCGCTTTTCATGCCAAAATCCAAGTTTAAAAAAAATCTCTTCTGTTCTCTGTTCCCAATTATCACAGTAAACCTGGCAAAAAGCGGCTAGTAATACTCATGCCACAATCAGAATACTGTGTTGCCTTGAAATTTTTCTGCCAGTTTAATTAGTCCATCACCTTTAATTTAGCCTCACAGAAAGTCTCAAGTCATGGGCAAAACTTTGTGGCCAGAATGTAACGCTAATGACCTCTAGTCCAATTCCCAATAGAATCCTTTCCCTTCTAAAAATTCAAGGACAGTCCTTATTGTCTACATTCCTATTGGCATTCTGATCTTCTGACCTCCCACCAGAATTGCCCATTAAGAAGGGAAGGGAGGGTTAATTCAAATAGATTACCAAAACCTTTTCCCATATGTTTTTATCTGATTTTTATCAATGCCCAGAGAAGTATCTTAATACCTGCAAGTGACTTCTGGAATTTTCTATGTCTTTTGTCTCTCAAGATTGGTTTTCTATATTTTGGAGGTATTTATTACATTGCTACAAATTCCTGTTGAATTTTATATTAAATCCATGCTCTGTGTCTCTTACTACTTTTATCTTTTATCGTATTATATGGCTTTCTATAGATCTCCTTTGTAAATTATAATTTGAGGAATTCCAAATATTTTGTATTACAGGTTACTGCCTTTTAATTAAGAGTTGATCCTGATCCACAGGAACATATTAAGATATTTTAGTCTGTGTGGAGGGCCATTAGGTGTATGTCTTAATATGGGACAAGGTATCCTTTAGCAGGGTACGTTTCTCACTTGAGGCAATTACAAAGTTTCAAGCTAGGTTTCTCAAATAGGAGAGACCTGGGCTTTTTCACTGTAAAGCATACTGCCAACCATCCAAGTCCCACTAGAAATACTCATTTCAAATCCCCAAGTTTTGAGACTGGGTGTGTGGCTCAATGGTAGAGTGTTCACAGAGCATATGTAAGGCACTAGGTTGGATTCACAGCACCACATATAAATTAATTAATTAAGTAAAGGTCCATCTACAACTTAAAATAAAAACAAAGTTTTCTCCTTTACTATTACTGCTCTACCATGTCCCACAAGAGTGTCAGGAAGTGAATGTGCTTAACTCTCATTGTGATTCCGCACTACCCACAATATTTTGATCTTCAGTGAGGTTGGTGCTGTGGTAAAACAAAGAAGAGATTCTTTCAGGTCCATCATGATAAGCTGTGTGATCTGAGAAAGTGGGGTCTTGGACCATCATCATCAGTAGAGTTAAATCCAGCTGCCCCACCTCCCAGTCCTTGAGGCACTTATGGACATCATCCCAGTAGTCACTTGATCCCCCTGCTCAGTTGCAACACAGGGGCACTTCATCACAATCAACAGTGAGTGGTAATTTATGTAATTGTGATGCTACTCCGTGCTCATTCCCCATTGGTCGTGAGTTCACCAGTGTGTCTCAGGCCACGCACATGTGCACACCAATCCCAGATGCTTATTTTCCTGTCTCTTTCTCCCTTTCTCTGTCAGAATCAGTCCTGGTACCAGATGCTGTATCTGTCAAGATCCAGTCCAGAACAGAGAAACCCACCAAGAGACATTACAATAGGAAGTTTTTGAAAAGGTATTAGAGGACTGAAATGATTAGAAGAAAACACTGAGGTACAGGAGGTGGGATTTCTCAAAAGGAGGTACTTCTCCAAGAAAGGGGAAGAGGTTGGGGTTATGGTAACCTAGATGCTTTTATAATGGGCCTCAGAGACCTGGAGCTGAGATGAGGATAGGTGGTGCTGGTCATTTGGGAACAAAGGAAAGGTGCAACTGATAGCTGGACCTCATAGAAAAGGATGCTGAGGTAGTGGTGGTACCATAGGGGCTTGGGAAAAGGTCCTCCAAAAGTGACGACTCAGATCTGAGGGAGGGTGCTCCCAACTTGCACTTGGCATCAAGGCTCTTTGTGTCATGGTCTGATAGAGCTGGTAGTGGAACATCTGAGGAAGGGACATTGTCAGGCTGTGTTGATTGCCCAGGGTCCTGGAATGTCCTGATATGACTAGATCTCAAGACTTCTGAGCAGGGAGCACTGTCTGCTGCTCTTGTACCTTGGAAGGGACTTGATGAAGCTTTCTCTGTTTCTGTATCAACCAAATGTCACCACCAGAGCAAAGAACCATGGCTGTGGTATGCAGACAGTACCCCGCCCCAAAAGTAGCATTCCTAAAAGTTTTTGCCTTTTTTTTTTTTTTTTTGTATTTTTCTCCTTCTAGTGCTCTTCTAGGCAAAACTCTATAGGAATCCTATTCACAATGGGTAAACATAATGTGCAGAATATTATATGGAGCTAAACAGTCCTGCCATAAATTTAGGTTTGTAGTTCAGAACATAGTTGATGGGGAGCATTAAAAACTCTTATTTTTTTTTGTGTCAGGTTAACAAGTTACATTTATATGTGTGCAATTGACTGATATCTTCTACTCTATTGTGTTTCATTTACTGAAATCTTCCTGAATTGATTTCATGACCTAGTAAGGTTTGTGACCCTTGTTTGAGAAATGTTGAAATAGGTCATTTGTAAAAGGAGACATGGCACAATGGGCATCTTGAGGAGTCTGAAGTAGCTCTTTGAAGTTGAAAAAAGAGTTAATGATTGAGGCAGAAGGAGAATCTCGTGGTGTTTGGAGTTTTAGTCATGTCAGCGGAAGGACTGTGCAGCGGACACCACTTCATGTAATTTGTGGGAATGCAGCATTCCTTATTGCTGATGACAAAGACTTGCCTATCACAAACATTCCTCACCATAAACTTTTCTATAAACCTTGTATTTCTGACAATTGTTAGGATGTTGTTATCTTCTCTCTGAGTCTTTTTCATAATCCTATCCCACTACCCATTTCCATATTATTATCTAAAACTCTAATAAATACCAAGGATATGATGAAGAGAAAGATGGAAAGGACATCTGGCGAACGGAGTGCATCTTTCTCAGAAATGCTTTGTGTCAGAGGTATTTTCTAGTGACAGTGGTTTCCTCTGTGGTATTCATTAGCCACTCATTAGTTTTGGAATCCTACCTAGATGGGTGCATGGTTTTGTTGACTTTCAGTTCCAAGAGTATTGCTCATGCTCTGTGCTGCTGATCCCAGTTACATCCTTACTTAGGACATTTAAGCCCACAGTAGGTGATAACAATGTGGCTCTAAGTTTGTTTTAATTTTGATCTCAAAGACAAGGCAGATTATTAATTTGGCATTTAGGTGAAAATCAGTAAATGACCCAGATTAGCTTTTACCTGAGAGGAAGTTTGTATCCAATAGTAGTGAGGTTTTCAAGTCCACTCATTGTGGTCTTATGAGCTTTTTAATGAACTCAAGGCTGAATCTTCTTGATGCAGCATTCTTTGGAAAGTTGACATTGAATAGGATCGATCTAGGTTACTAAGCAGCCATTGGAAAACTAGAATTGAGTTCATATTGACATGACCACAGGAGCCCCTCAGGATTTAGAACATGAGGCTGGTGGGCTGTTTGGGGAGAAGGCTATGTCTGCAAGCTACGGTAGGAGGCAGGCGGGCTGTATGCCCTGCCCCTAATAACTTCCCCCACCCCATTACTTCATCTGTTTCCCTTCTTTTTTTTTTTTTTTTTTTTGAATATCATCAATTGGAGGAGATCAACCACTACTTCTGAGCCTTTTAAGTGGGGCCTTTTGGCTGTAAACTTAGCATTGGGACTACATAAGATTTCTGGAGTGGGGTTGGGTAGGGGCAGTGTAAAAGCAAACTGCATGAATAAAGTAACCATGATAACGGGTTTTGTCTGGGTCATTCACATGTTTGTTGACAGTGTGGAGTGCCCATGGGTTTTTGGGTAGCAGAGGAATTTGCGTAAGATATATCTTTTCAAACTGGAAAACTTATTATTATAATTTTACATATTTAAAGAAGAGTGTATAGTGCTGGGGATTGGCCTAGCATGTGCACGTATTGGGTTCCTTTCCCAGTATCATAAAAGAGACCAACTGCCTAGTATGTAATGAAACTTAATGTATCTGATATCCAGGTTTGACAATTATCTGCCTATGTCAAATCTTACCTATTTCTCTGGGAGCCTACACACACACACACACACGCACACACACACACACACACGTGTCTATGTGTGTGTGTATTTTTATTAGAATATGCAAATCCCATGCATGTTATTGCTTCAAATCTGGTCCCAATTCAAGAATCACTTTAGCCTCACTTTCTTCTTTTTTTTCTCCCATCTTTCCTGATCCACTGACTCCATTCCAGCCCTTTTTATTTTTCACTTTCAGTACTGCAGCTCTGATGGTCCAACTCCACCAGGATACAGATCCATAAAGATCAGCCCAGCACTCTGAACAGCTCAGAGGGAGGAGCCTGACCAGCAGTTCCTCATGCTATTGCCTTGTTCTTTTTCTCTGGACAGGTGGCTCCTTAATGACAGATCCTTAATGACAAATCCATAATGTCTGTGGTTGAGACTCTGATGCACATCAGGGTCACTTTTCTACCGGTCTGGCTTGGGATATCTCTGTCCATTCCTGACCTCTCCCAGGCCAGTCCCTCCCAGCATTTCACCTCCCCAGAAGTGGTGATCCCCTTGAAGGTTATCAGCAGGGACAAAACTGCAGAGGCTCTGGGTTGGCTCTCCTATAGTCTGCGGTTCGGAGGCCAAAGACATGTTGTCCATATGAAGGCCAAGAAGCTGTTAGTTTCTCCACACCTCCCAGTGTTCACTTACACAGAGCAGCATGTCCTCCATCAGGATCAGCCCTTTGTCCAGGATGACTGCTACTATCATGGTTTTGTGGAGGGGGTCTCTGAGTCCCTGGTTGCCCTCAGTACCTGTTCCGGGGGCTTTCAAGGAATGCTACAGATAAATGAACTTGCTTATGAAATTAAGCCAATAAAGCTTTCTGTTACATTTGAACACTTGTTATATAAGATAGACACTAATGAGACACAGTTCCCACCTATGAGATGTGGGTTAACAGAAGAGAAAATAGCACGTCAATTGGAATTGCAAATGTCACATAATTTCACTCTGAAACAAAGTTCTTATTTGGGGTGGTGGATCCACTCACGTTTTCTTGAGGTAGCAGTGGTTGTGGACTATCATAGATATGTTTTCTCCGAAAGGAATGTGACAACGATAAAGTTGGACATAATTAATGTTGTCAATATAGTGAATTCCTTATATCAGGCTTTGGAAATTGACATAGTTTTGACTGGGTTGGAGGTCTGGACTACAAATAATCCAATTAATACCAGTGATGACTTAGATTATGTTTTGGACTACTTTTGTACTTGGAAGCAAAATAACCTTGATGGACGTCTGCCTTATGATGTTGTACATCTGTTTATGAAAGAATATTATGGTGGTGGGAAACTTGGTGTCGCCTATGTTGGAGGAGCATGCCGTGCTCTTTATAACTGTGGAGTTGAATTGTTTAGAGACAACCAACATTCCAATTTTGCAATTGCTATGAGCCATGAGCTTGGTCATAATTTGGGTATGTGGCATGATGAACGATATTGTGGATGTGGATCCAGGACATGCATAATGAATCGGTACTACACTTTTTCATTTAGATTTAGCAATTGCAGTTATGCCGAGTATTGGGACAATCGTCGGAATACATGTATTTATCCTCTTGCACATGAATCGGATGTCTTTAAGATTAAATACTGTGGGAACGAAGTAGTTGATGCAGGAGAAGAGTGTGATTGTGGATCTGTCCAGCAGTGTGCAAGAAATCCCTGTTGTCAGTCTAACTGCACTTTCAGTCCTGGATCATCTTGTTCTTTTGGGCTTTGTTGCAAAGACTGTAAATTTAGGCCACCAGGGACTTTATGTAGACATCCGCTCAATAAATGTGACCTTCCAAAGTGGTGCAATGGGACATCCCATCAATGCCCAGATGATGTATATGTGCAGGATGGAAGCCCTTGTAGTGACAATGCCTACTGCTATAAAAAGACATGTAATACCCATGATTTACAGTGTAAAGAGATTTTTGGCAGAGATGCAAGGAGTGCATCTCAGAGTTGCTACAATAAAATCAACACCCAAGGAAATCGTTTTGGGCACTGTGATATTGTAGGCACAACATATACCAAATGTTCGGAACCTGATATCATGTGTGGAAGGGTTCAGTGTGAAAATGTGAGCCGACTTCCCTTTCTCCAATCACATTTTACAGTGCATCAGCTTCACTTCAATGAAAACACTTGCTGGGGCACTGATTATCATTTAGGGATGTCCATACCTGATATTGATCAAGTAAAAGAAGGCACCTCATGTGCTCCAGGAAAGATCTGCATCAGTAAGAAGTGTGCAAGTATGGTTCAGCTGTCCGAAATCTGTCAGCCTGAGACCTGCAACATGAGGGGGGTCTGTAATAACAAACATCACTGTCACTGCAACCATGAATGGTCACCTCCCAACTGTAGTAACAAAGGCTATGGAGGTAGTGAAGATAGTGGTCCACCTCCTGGGAAACCC